CACTAAAATAAAGAGTTAACATGGAATTCATACAAAGCCACCACTCCCACTGGCTCCTTTTCTTATGTAGGAAATTAGAAGCTACGCAGAAATGTCTTTTATTGAGAAAATTTGAATAATTGACATTTCCTCCATTCTATACCATGTTTAATCAACTAAAAGAACAGAGGATAAGAGCTTTCAAATGGGTATACGAATGAGGGTGGATTTATCTACACTATACCGAAGCAGTCAAACAGAAATTTCAATGAACTTGTACGCGCTGAGGTCGGAGAAGGATGTCTCCTTCGCAAGCAGTGAACACATGATCATGTGCAACATGCTTAAATTGATCATAATCCTACTTCTAGCCTCAAACTACTAAATTGGCAGGGTATCTAACAGTCATTATCTTGAATGACTTTGTCTATTAGTCTCTAAATAAATTAACTTACCTATCCTTATCTCAAGATGGTTGACTACATATAATAGAGAAAAATTCTTAGAGAGAAATCTTAAGAAGATGTTGAAAGAACAAGCATGCATACCAGAAGCCAGACAGAATTGAGGGTGAGGCTGGTCGTGGCAAAAGCATAAGAACTCAAGCGTTGTATTGTCAGATCCACATACTCCACCAGAATTCCTGCATGCCATACATTCCATGATGTCCTTGTGATACACCACATCGAACCCTTTATTCCAAGCATCCTCTATAGTGTCATTTCCGGACCACAGCTCATCGAATTCGTTTCCATTAACCGGAAATCTAATACTGATGTTACAATCTGTGAGTTCCGAGCTGTGAATTCTCAACAATGACTCATCCAGGTAATAGGCATAGTTGTTGCCATTGAATGTGGTACAACTAAATCTATGTTGGGAAGGTATATCATCATCAAGAGGACAGCCATAGAATATACTGAGATTTCGAAAGGTTGCAGCAAAATCAAAGAGGTTGTGGTCTAAAGTAATGTTATGGAATTGTTCAGGACAAGAATCTTCCCAGATATCCACAGGAGCAATGCTCATCGTGCCAGGTATACTTACGTTTAATACACGAAATCTCTGAGCATTAATATTTATGACCGGGAACTGATTTTCTTCACAAATGAGCTCGAACCCTCCATGACCGCAGTATCTTGGCCGTACACTGCCCCAGAAAGGGTACTGAATGCCTGGTATGATTCCACAACTGAATGTTTCATTGCATTCCAGGAACTGCCCATTGTCATCGGAATAAGCTATGGGGAGAACAATCAAGATGAAGATGGGGATGATGGGGAGAGAACTTGGCAGAGGTGAAAAGTAGATATGGATATTCATTTACCGAAGATTAAGAGAGAAAAACTAGGAAGATGGAGGTTCAATATTATTGTTATTGATAAGGAAAGAAAGGTAGAGCATCTTTTTCAAAGAGATGAACGAATCATCCCTCTGGGTTTTATGTATTATCTTAATATAATGTAAAGGCTACTTGTTTTGACAAAGATAAAAAAGGAAGCACCTGAAGTTTGAATTTTGATTGAGAGAGAGACGGCTCTTGACTTCTTATTTGTTATTGTTTGAGAAATTTTGGTTGAAAATCAAAGGCGGGCGATACTAATTGGCGATCAAAGCTAGCAACGAGGACTAAGTCGTATAACAATTGAACGAGAACAGGAAATGTTAAAATGTTAAAAGATTACGGCTCACGTTATACGAGACAGGCAAGGACCAAAGCCTCCCCGATATTTTCCATATGCTAAACTGTGTGCAGCAGTCCAATTGGAGAGGTTTTTGCAGCTATTATTTAATTCAATGCATGATGGGACTACAGACACTCTTCAGTGCATTTGGCAGCTACGTTTCACTTCCCAGAGTGAAAAAAAATCAATATCCGTTGAGGGAGCAGCCCTGTAGGGAGACTCCTCGATAATCAGCACGTCACTTGTCAGTATGAGATTCTTTTGGTGTAAGTTTGGACATGTTGAACTCAAAAATTGGATGAAGTGACTTGGTTGTTGGATTTGTCAGATATCAATCCTAACAGCCCTATATAATTAACAAAGCTGTTACACAAATTTGGATCTCAACGAGCACTGATACTACATCCAAATCTAAAACCAGAACCAGAACTAGCAGTTTACAATACCCTTCTATATACCAGAAAGAACAGGAAAATTAACTGGTCATAGGTCTGCTTTTTTAAGACTGTTGGCTAAGTCACCGAAGATAAATTTCATTGATTAAATTAGATGGTGCTTGAAAGGTCTAAGAAGTATAATTTAAAACTCAATTACTTGGATGTTGGATTATACTAAAGAGTTATGTTCAGTTCAATGCGCCATCTCTATCAGCCACTAAATAAGTCAATGTATGACAAGGGGAGGCTTCTGTCATCCTAGCAAATGAAAGGTTTATGAATTTGTTCAACCAATCACTGGACAATTCCAGGTCTATTAATACGAGGTTCAAACATAGAAGCCATCAGCCCGGTTCACCCAACTGGCTTCCATAGTCAAATTTTAAGATTTTTATTAAGTATCACGAAAACAGTCAAAAACATGACAGAATTTGTGACGCTGGAGAGGAGAAATATATAGTTGATTCATTAAAAATTTTGGAGGGCATATTATTTAGTGAAGTGAATAGGATGCGCCAACAAGCCACAGGGAGTGAGCTGATGGTTAATCAAAACTGTCAATGGCCTTCATGAATTCTAGGCCAAAAGCCCAGACCCTCTTTGGCCCAACTAAGATGCTTTGACATGATCAAAGATGTGTAAATTAATTATGATTTAAATAACAAAAAATTCATGAATTATATCAGTTTCTGCAATTAAGTCTTAATGCTTTTATTATATCTCCAAAATCCCTTATCCTTTAATGTGCATCCAAAATTTTTTTTTTTCTATTACACCCCACAAGTCCTTAATTTATAATAAAAATATTAAAATTTCTAAAATTTAATAGACAGTTTTTTACTTCAGATGTAAAAGAACTGTGACACTTGTCTAGATGAAGAGATTGGCCGAGGATAAGACCTGGCTTGGAGATCATCCAAGAAACAAAACAATGGGCTTTAAGCTGGCGGAAAAGGTATTTCGGCACACAGCTATATAAAACGATGCAGCCTAGTAGTGCAGGGTATATTTGAGCTGCTTACAATGGGCTTCTTAGGAGATCTGATGTGGATGTAGCAATTAGAATCAGATTAACATGATTTGCATCATGATTCATGGGTATTACTATCATAACCTTGCAAAGACATTTGAACTAACGGCATCAAAACTTGTACAAACTACCAAGTCTATGTAAGAATTGGTTCTGTGTATGAACTTCACACTGTTTTTCCTATTGGTTTTAATAAAAATTTCTTCAGCTTTGGGCGAAGAAAAAGTGACCAATATAGTTGCCATGGTCCCTCTAACTTTATTTGTCCTAGTGGAATGCATGATGTAACAATCTCCATATTTTTCTGCTTTAATTAGATATATCTTGAATTAATATCATTTTCAAACAAAATAAAGATAAGACGTAAAGAAGGACAAGGAATCTTAGGCAAACAATTGAAAAGGCAAAGGGCCAATAGATTAAAATATACAAGAACTAGAGTGATCGAGTACATACCTAGGCAGTGGTCCTTGCCGATTTGGCCATTCTTGCAAAAGCACAAAAACTCATGGGCTGAGTTATCGTACCCGCAAAAGCCTTGGGAAGCCTCGCAAGCACCGCACTCCCTGATCCTCCGCCAATCCAACACAAATCCCTTATTCATGGCCGCACCGAATCCACTGATCAAGTCATTCATGTTAATCTCCCTCTTCATCACCGTGGCTTCTACTTTCTCCTCGCAACTATTGACCAAATCAGACTTATCAACCCCATCATCATTCTCCTCCGTCACGACATAGGACCGCAGATCGTTAGATCCTAAACACTTTACGGGTGTCAAACTAGAGGGATGTGAAGAGCAGTTGAAATAAAAACTAAGGTTTAAGTTCAAATCGGAGTGATACAACGGCAGGGTGCCTAGAGTAAGGTTGTGACGCGCCCTAGGGCATGTTTGGTCGACGACGTCAATATCGACAAGGGTGAACGTATAATCATCATAATTGATGTTCTTCACGTAAAAATTGTCATTAGGTAGGCTAAAAATTGGCTGGCCGTTGTCTGCACATCTAAGACCAAAATGAGGGTAGCCACAATATTGGTTATTAGAGGTGTCGCTATCATTGAGCCAGAAAGGGTATCTAATCTCAAGGCCGTTACCGCAATCATGAGAGGGGCATGTTGATGGCAGGGAGGTGTTGTTTCCATGAGTGTTCATGAAGAAGAGGGAGAGAAAGATGAGGAAGAATGGAGGAAGTAGCATGGTGACAAATTGTTTGAAATTTGAATGAGAAAGTTGGTCATCTGTGTTTGAAGCTTGTTCTTGCTCTGCTTATATAGAAAAAGTTACGAGTCTTCGTCCTTTATAGTATTTTGATACATGTGTGTATGTATATATATATGCATACACACATGCTGCAGTACTTGTTTAATATAATCAATATATATATATATATAATATATATGTATATTGAAAAAAGAATCTTTTTTTAACTTGAAATATGAAAAGAATCATTTTGGAGATATGTTGGGTATGGATATTATATAATAAGGTTTCTTTTTCCCTTTTATTTTCCTATTTATAAAATGTGAGGGTATACTACTCTTCGTGGTTATAACATCAAAATTGTAATCATAACATTTTCACTCATTTTAGAAAAGGAATTGTTAATTAGTAAGCTTTCTTTTGAAATAAATAAAAAGGAAAACAAAGTATAAGTACCAACTAGGCTATATAATAATCATCATCATTGGTGTAATTACTTGTTTCATTTTATGTATTCCTCTTCCACTTCTATTTTCTAAGATATGTCGAGTTTGCCATCAATTGCAATATCAAAACCCCTCTTTGTGTTAGAAAAATAATATAAGAAAAGAAGTAGAAGGACTTGAAACGTGTTATAACACGGTATTTATTGAGTTATTGTTTATTATGAAAATTTACAGGCAAGGATTCTCTATAATTAAAGGTTAAAGTTTAATTTGAAAGTACGTTATTTTTATAAACATTGAAAAGTTATATTTGTTGTATTTCAATAATAATGTTTACTAAAAACATTTTATTTATTTAAAAAGTTAAGCTTTAATCTAAACTGTTACATCTTGAATAATTTATAGACATTGCATAATGTTTTTGAAGGTTGAAGTATGTTTTGAAAGTATATTATTTTTATAAATATTAAAATTTATGTTGTTGTGTTTTAACAGATATGTCTATTATATTTAATAATTTTATTTGTTCAAAATATTTTTATTTATTTAAAAAATTATATTTTAATTTAAATAATTACATTTTAAATAATTATCTTCTATCGTGAAATTGTCAAATACTACAAACCATGGAGTAGCTTGTACTCCGTGAGTTTTAAATTCTTGTACTTTTTCGTATCAACTTGTCTGACATAATCAAAGTTTCTCTGAAGAAGACGAAATAGTTAAAGTTTCCAAGTAAAACCGCGTCAAAACCTGTTGGAGTCCACACCAATAGAAAGCAAACAGTGCTATATTAATAGAATAATATTTGTTTGCTTTGAAGCTCAAATTCTAATAATCAATAAACAAGTTGAAATATAATATAGAGAGAGACTCGTGGTCTCCACGTTCCCTCAATTATTTTATTCTTCAAGCTCGGTTACAAGTCCAAATGGCTCCTGTCTTTTCTTTGTGAATGTATCTTCTCTGAAGGTCGTGGATGGGAAAATAGAATTGGAGTCAATTGACCAAGCCCTCAAAGTGCATGCATGGCTGTCCCCGCCATCACTAAGATAGTAGTCCTCGTTTAATATTCAATAGCCAATACTTTCCACTAAGCTTCCCACCTGTGAAGATATAGCCCATGGTTTTCAGAGGGGATCACTTTTAGGAAAGCCAGTAATCACACTAATCATGAAGAAGAAAGAAAAATAAAAATATAATGTTTGAAAAAACTTTTGAATTATTTAAAAAGATTTTAAAAAAAATTATTTTTGTTATATTTAATTAAATTTTTATATTTTTATTTTAAATTAAATAAACTTATATAATTAATAATTAATTAAATATTATTAATTAAAATATCATTTGTTTTTTTTTATATCAAGTGACACTAATGAGGTGTCAATTTAAAGAGCAAAAATGCTACATGACCTTGTTATCATGCAACATCATCATTCATTATAATATATCAATATATCAGATTAATATTACGTGATATAGAATGATAAGTGATATTTTGACTAATAATAATTCGTTAACAGCTTATTTAGTTCAAAATAAAAAACTAAAAGTTTGATTAAATGTAATAAAATAATCAGAGTTTACAGAAAAACCTTTATAAATTAATACTCTTACAATCATGAAAATTTATTAATTAATTAAAATATTATTTAATTGATAAGCTAATTAATAAAAAAATAATTTCATTACAAAAAAACAAACAATTAAGGATAGAATCAATTGTGTTGGTAATGGTCAGTCAATAAGTACCAACGAAACACCAATAAAATCATACTGCCAAACTTATTGATAGAATATTGACGAAAATGATTTCGTCAGTAAACAATGGTGCTAAATACTAGTAGATGGCATGAAATTTACCGACGGATAAATTTTATCAATAATGTCTTTGCTAATGAAATTTACCAACCAAATTGTCGACATAAAATCTGGTTGGTAATTAAGTTAGATTGTGGATCGAATTACTAACAAAATTTGGTTCTGTGAGTCAATATAAAAAGTTTATAAGTTTACTGACTGATTTATAGATGAAATTTTCATCGATAATTATTTTTAAATTATCGACATAAAATTTCATCGGTGAGTTAAATTAAAAACTTAGACACTCTTCTTTGCCCCCATTTCTCCCAACTCTTTTATCCTCTCCTTAACTCTTTATCCCTTTCTCCCGCATGCCTACCGCCTTGCTACATTGCCCTTCTGCTAATCTGACCTAACCCCTCCGACCATTTGTCCGTCCAACCTAACTCTATCACCTATTGCTCTGGTGAAGCTATTAGCAGCCGATTTCCATCTCCCGGAGCTATTGCCATTCGATTTTGGTGAAGCTTTGGTCGTTCGATTTCACCAATTTTGCTGCCTATTTTGTTCCGACCGATGGTAGTTTATATGCTAAGAGAGTAAGCTTCCTGTCATGGGATTTTTTATATGTTTAGGGTTTACATTTAGGGTTTAGATTTGAGAGTTAATAATTCGTTTAGCTTTCTATATGTTTACGTTTCAGGTTTTCTATATGTATAGCTTTCATTGTCATGAAAATGTTGATTCATGGCATTATGCTGTTGAATATAATAATCTGTTGTTGTAATGAGTAATCTGTTGATTCATGGTATTGTATAATCTATTGTTGAGATTTAAGTATTTTGAAGTTGCAGAAATTATAGAACTTCAAATAGGATTTTTCCTTAGCTGTTGGTATTGTGTAATCTGTGTAATCTATTGGTATTGTGCCTTCCTTAGCTTTCACAGATAACATTTTTAGCAATTAATTAAATTAGTAAATATAGTAAAATTTATAATTATTCAAATTGATTAAGATTTTATTAAATTAGTGAAATAATTTAACTAATTATCATGTGCAAACAAACAATGTTTTAGTAATTAAGCAATTAAGTAAATTAGTAATATTATTTAAATAAAAAATATTTAAATTACTGAAGGTGCTAATCAGTTAATTAAATAATTTAGTTAAATGAATTAAGGTAACGCATTAGTAATTAAACAATTAATTAAAATAGTAAATTTAGTAAAATTTAAAAATATTTAAATTAATTAAGATTTTATTAAATTAATTATATAATTTGACAACTTGAATTGAAAAAATGTTTTAGTTATTAAGCATTTAATTAATTTAGTAGGTTTTATATTTAATGCATTATCAGTATATTGCTTTTATATACTGTCAGCTCATCAAAATGTGCCATCTCATTAATGAGATAAAATAAAAAACTTTAGGGACTTAAAATTAAATATTAAAAAGTTTATAATAACTAATTAAACAAAAAATAAAATATTTTCACTTTTCTATCTCTCTCAACCGTTCTTGTTTTACATATCTCTCCAACTCCATCTTCTTCTTCCATTGAAATTAGATTTTACAAAATTCTACAACTTCAAGAGCAAATTGTAGATTATTTTCTTATTCTTTTAAAACCTTAAAAGATAATGAGAAAACATACTTTCCAGAAAAGAAGATTGAGGAAACAAGATTCAAATAAATAAATCTTATTAGCAGAATTTTATGAAGTTAACAATTTTGCTTCTAAGTAAGAGGATTAAGCCAAAATTTTTCTTTTCCAAGAAGCCATATCCCACCTCTCTTTGTCATTGTGTTGCAAAGGGAAATTCACTTTCACTCACATACGTTGATATTGAAACTCTTGTAAAATGGTTATTAACATCCCATCTAAAAATGTGCAGTTTAGTTAAAAATTAAAATAGTTATATAACACATCCTGAACAATGATTTTGGTTCAGATACCATCAAGCATGTGATTTGGTTTAACATGTCAGATTTAAACTTATTTGCATTTTAGATTTTAGTAAAATGGTTAAGTAACACCTTAAGAGAATTTTGGTTTTGATAGGAATTTAGAGTTTTATGATTGCATTCAATGAATAAAAAAAAACTAATACTTGCGGAAAAATAATAATTTTTGGCTTAATCTTGTTATTTAGAAGCAAAATTGTTGATTTATAAGATTATGCTAATAACATTTATTTATTTGAATTTTGTTTCCTCAATTTCTCTTTTTAAGGTTTTAGAAGAGTTAGAAAAGAATCTAAAAATTGCTCTTGGAGTTACAGAATTTTGCAAACCTAATTTTAATGGAAGAAGAAGATGACAAAGTTGGAGAGATATAAAAAAAGAAAGAAAACAAGAAAAAGAAGATTAATAGAAAAGTGAAAATATTTTATTTATTGTTTAATTAATCATAAACTTTTAATATTTAATTTTAAGTCTAAAATTTTTTTCATTTTACCTCATTAATGAGGTGGCAAATTTAGGTGAGTTGACAGTGTATAGAAACTATATACTGTCAGTGCATCAAATATAAATCTAAATTAGTAATATTATTTAATTTTAAAAAATATTTAAAATAATTAAGATGCTAGTTATGAGTTAAATAAATAACTTAGTTAATATCATAATGTAATGTGTTATAAGTAATTAAGTTATTAATTAAATTAATATTATTATATAATATTTTATTTATTTTAAGTATTTAGAGTTTAGGGTTTAGTAAAATTTAACTAGGCTATATGAGAGAATTA